TTTTTTATAGGACAACTTAGGGTCTAGCATCTAATTCTAACAATAAGTGACAATGTGAGGTATGAAAGGTTTCTAAGGTTTCTAACATTTCATACACCTAAGCTAAATAGTCATAATAAAAAGAAGTTTGCAAAAATCAAACAATAACTTGCAAAAACAAAGGGAAAAAAAAAAGGAAAAAGGAAGGGGCGAACCTATGTAGGGTAGAAAGGAAAGGAACGGACACCGGTATCAACACTACAGGTGTGTTTGATAATCTATTTAAGTAGCTGAAAAAATTAAATTATAATACGTAATATAAAAATTTTGTGTGATAATCTAAATAATCTCATATTTAAAATTTAAATTCAGTCAAAATCTACTTAATTAGGTAAGTTAAAGTTTTTAATCTAAAACTTTTTTATTAACTCGCTCGGTTTAAATATTTTTGAAACTTTATTAATATAACTATATAGCGCTCATATATTTTTATAACCCTACCTATGTAAATTGATTGAGAAATAATCTATACTATCCCCATTGCCAAAACAGAGGAGACCTTCTCCATTATGTGATTATTTCAATAAGATGAAGATAAAGAGTTATAAAATCTTGAATGAGGCAAATATTAATCGGCGAATGGAATAGGATATTGCTAAAGTATTTTTTATCCTCTATGCATCAAAAAGCGAGGCAAGTATCTTACTCTATCATTATAATTTTTCTATTAATAAAATTAATGAGGCATGTTTTGCTTATGAGGATGGGTGATGGATATGGGAATAGGACGAATTTAGGTCTATGGAGCTGGAAGGTCTTGTGGATTTTGGACATAGGCTTATCTTTTGGTGCCTTCAAAACAGCATTTATTTTCTTATTTTAATTGGGATATTCTTATTAATAATTTATAAAAAGAATATATATATATATATATATATATATATATATAACACAACAATTTAATATCTTTTGTATTATATTTTTTTTCATTTTCATTGTTGTTCCACTCAACATTGCATACAAAAAAGAAGGAAAAAAAGTCCACGTGGATGTGTTATGTCATATATTTTCTTATTTTAATGGGTGTATTGTTGTTATTAATTGAAAATGAAAAACCCAAAAGCAATAAGCAAAACATAACAATTTAACCATGTTTATAAAAACATAAATAAATAAAAAACTATATGTTGTTATTGATATCATCAAATCAAATTATATCAATTTTTATTTGATTTGATCAAACGAATGATAAAAATCCAATCTAATTTGACCAAAAACGGATACGTTGGAGGATGAGGGGTTTCACTTACCCGTCACCCAACTCGCCTCGACCTAGTTTTTTATTTTATTTTTTAAAGAAAAATTTGAGTTGTAATTTTATTTTTAAATATAATGCATAAATTTTTATCTTATAATTCATACGAGATGTTTTACGAGTTTTATGTATCCGTTTGAAATTCATATGAGGCGAGTATCTTTCCCCGTCATTATAATTGAATTTTTATTTATTTATTTATACACATAGACACATCTATGTATATATTTTATTTATGTTAAAAAAATCATGTTACAATTGCAAGGTTAAAATTGTCATGTATATAGCTTTAATATGTTTAGCAATAGTACTTATCAAACAATCTTATTATATTCAGCACTTAATTTTCAATAAATATCAAATAGTTTATCAGCAACATATTCAATACTTAATTATTTAATAATTAAAATTTAGTACTTAACGATTCGACACTTAATTTTCAATTTTATCAAACACTACCTAAATCACCGGTAAGATTGAATTTTCAACAAGCTTTTCTCCTTCTTCTTTTTACTCTTCTCTCTTTATTCTCCTCTCCTTCATATGTAACTTTCTTATCTCTTTTTAAAGCTCTCTCCTCTCTCTATCTTTCTTCTCTTTTCTCTCGTTTTCTTTGTTTTCTTTCTTGCTACAACACTTGTTTAGTTTTAAAAAAATCATCCCCTCTTTTTCTCTCACATTTCATCTTATATATTTCCTCTCTTTTTTTAGTTTCTTGCTTTCTCGACCCATTCTTACTTGAATCACCTATCTTTCCATTTTAAAAAAAAAACAACCCAAAAGGCTTTTTCTCCGATTTTTTACTAAGGAAGACATGATTGTTTTCTTTGATCTTGTTTGTGTAGACAATTTTTGGGATGTGAATGGAGGAGAAGGACGAAGAGTTGGCTTATTTTTTGGTGAGTCGACATAGAAAGGAGTACAAGGTACAATAACAACCGAGTTAAGGGAGCGTCTTGTGGTCATTTAAGTGCCAACAAGATGGAATTCAAGATAGGGGAGGCATTTTATAGGAAAGAAGATGAATAGAAAAAAAGGATAAAGATTTAGTGTAAAATTAAAATTTAAGGCAAAAACAAGATCATTTTGGAAAATAGTTTCGATTTCCTTATTTTTTTCTTCTTCTCTTCAATTGGACTCATCAATTCATGGGTTCTCGCTTCATGTTCTTCTAATTTTTGCCAATTTAGCCCTTATTTTCTTTTATTTCCTCTACTTAATTTTTCTCATTTATTCTTCAACCCCGCTTGTTTTATAATTATTTTCAATTTTGCCCCCTTTTATTTCTTTTTTTTTCTTTCTACTAATTCATTGAAGAACCAACTCATTTATTCGGGGCCCCTCTTTTTTTAAAACTATTTTTTAAAAAAAAATTTATAAAATACAAATAAAGATAGAAGGGAACCCCATTGGGTTACAACAATTTATATGAATTTGTAACTCGATTAACTAAACAAATACATCCCAACTCCTAACAAAGTGTAAAATTTAAGGGTACGACCTTTTTTTTTTTTTTTTGCACTTGATCATTGTAAATTTCATTACACAATGAAAGAAGTTTGTAGTTTTCATGGCAAACCCGTCAGCAAGTCTATTCATTCCTATATGTTTTCCTTGGTGATATCCATGGCTAAAGTTCAAGCGAGATGGTTAATATAAAAAATAATAGTGTCAATTTCTTGAAGGATCTTAAGACACGGTATTAGCATTTTTTAATATTTTTGCAATTCTATTTCGATATTAAACTAGTTAGATACTCGCATTATGCTACGGTCAAACAATCGTTACATAAATAGGGTTAACGATTCGTATAGTGTAGTGCGAGTAGAAGTTTTATTTATGTTGATTGATATAAATCGAATCTATATATTGAGCAAAATCATTATATATATATATATATATATTAACAAAATATTTAATAATATTAGCATAAAAATTTATATTTGAATAATTGGGAGGTTCTTTCAAAACATTATCTAACTTATTTTATTTAAAAAAAAATTTAGAATATGAAAAAATAAATAACAAATAATAGGTATTATGTGTGTAGATAAATAGCTAATTTCTAACAAAACTAATGATATATATATATATAGACACACACACACACACACAAAAGCCCACCTAAATTGTATTTTTTATATTTTTCACACCTAATTCCAATATATATATAGCAAAAGAAAAAAAAACGGCCGAGCTCGCTCATGCACGGTTGGTTCGTGCGAGCAAGACGAGCCATATATATATATAAAGAAACGAAGAAAAAGAAAAAAGGCTAGGCTCGCGCTTGGTTAGCTTGTGCAACCAAGACGAGCTAGCACGCTTAGGTCTACAAGTGCAAGCCCGCACACCAAGCCATGCTAGTTGTTCAACCTCTCCCCCTCCAAAAAAAAAAAAATAAAACCCGACAACTTTCGATGAACTCTAGCTTGTCAAAAAATTGCAAGTCAAGTTTTAGACCCTATGAAACTCAATTCGAGTATAATTTTTTTCTCCAAATACTTCTAAATGACCAAAATAAAATCAAAGAGCATTTTTAAAACCTTAAAAATCATTTTAGTGCACATTAAAACAAAAAAAAAATATAATAAAGTTTGACCGATCAAAGTGGCCAAAATAAGCTTAATCGATGCTTCTTCTCTCCTCTAGTCTCTTTCTTATTTTCTCCCTCCTCTCTACACCATTAACCAAAATGTTTTAGTAAATAAAGATATTGACCGAAATAAAACTTTTAAAAATATTAAGAATCAAAATATTAAAAAATTATAATCTACAGTAAATGATCAATGAGCACTATTCAAACATTCTTCTAGTTTTCTTTATAATTAGGCGCATTCTAGAAGGGGCTGCTTTGTTCGTGTGATCATGTGAATGTTGACAAAAAGGTCTGTGATGAACCGATAAGAGCTGGGGGAATCAAATTTCTTTTATCGTTCAATTGTTCTTCGTAATCAAAATGAAATTGTTGAAATCGGGTTATAGACTTCTTTGAACAGAAACTTGCATTTTTGCATTTACTGAAATATATATGGACATATATCCCTGCCTTAAAAAAAAAGATGAAATTGATTTTACATCATTATAAGACTGTCAAATAAGTTTATTGATAAAGTTAATTTAGCTCTCATTGAATGAGGCAGTTGGCAAAGAACATTGAAGAATCTCGTATGTATTATCTGAGATGGGATCTACATTTCAATTGTAAGACATATCGTTCGCCTGAGACATGGGTGATACTTTTAAACAGCACTCAGGCTATCATCAGCTAAAAATGGATTGGAAAAACATGCATTTCCTTTTTTTTCTATATCATGAATACTGCGAATTATGATACTACTAATGTTCAAATATGAGAGAATTGGCCACGAAAGTAGACTTCCCTGCCAATGGTGAGAACCCACAATTTTTCTAATAATACCTATATTGACATGGCAAAAACATGGAACTGAAATTCGCACACAAAAGTTCTATATTACTATGCCAAAATCTTCCTGATCGATAACAATAACAATGTCTTTCGATAGATCTACAGTATCTACCACAAATACAGATCACAAACCGTTCAGAAATCCTATTCCAAATTAATATCAAAAAAGAAATAAAAAATAACACACTAAAATGATAAAACGTGAAAAAAAATAAATAAAACACACGGCCTGACAGACTTATTCCCCACCGTGAGTAGAAAAATTCAATTTAAAGTAACTTACAGCAGCAAAAGCCCTAAGCACAAACTCAATACCGTGGCAATAAGTCTTCCACCACCAAATCTCACACTAGCATTGTCATCAGCTGTTTGGTCTGCTGGGTCATCATCAGGTGAATCAGCTGGCGAGTCCGAAGGGGAATCATCGGCGGTAGGCTTCTTATGTTTGCTAGATTTTGGTGCATCTGCCACCTCCTTTTCCGGGGCAGGTGCCGGAGCTGGTGTTGGTGCTGCTTTAAACAATTCCTTAGGCAACAAGACCTTATCAATGGTATATATAGCCAGTGGCTGCTCATCGATCAAAGTCCCAACTATTTTTGCAGTGGTACTCCTTGTCTTTAGTGTCACATCCTCGCCATCATTTTGAACTGTGAAATCAAACTTCTTTTGGCCATCTGTAGCTAAAGTGTTCATGATCCCATTGTTGGATTTTAACATAGCTAAAGACTGATAAATAGGGAGACCGAAGAATTCAAGGAATGACTCTTTGCCAGAAGCTGTTAAATTCTTGAATTTAGGTAAAAAGGCCTTGAATGGATCGTCAAGAGGGCAAAACACTGTTAATCCTCCATCAATATTGTCCTGATCAAAGCAACCATAGTCATGAAATTTAAGATCCTTGCTACTAGCTAAGCAAATTAAGGGGGAAAAAGGGAGTGCAATTCCATCAATGTGCCAAAACTATAAAATAGAATAAAAAAAATGCCAAATGCTAAATCTAGATGAAGAAAAGAAACATCCAAAAAGAGGAAAGAAGTCAAAAGTTGACATGGGCCACGATCGGCTAACGCACGTAAGGTGATGTTTTCTGTCTTCCACAAAATTCCTCTCTCATTTGGCCCCCATGCCATGTGCGAGTAGTTGAATCTCACTTGTCCTACTCGACTTCTTTTTCAATTTTGAATTTTTGGTATCGTAGCTGAATAAATTCTAGAAAAAAATAGTTTATAAATGTCCTTCGAAACCGATTATACAATTTTTTATAATAGATATAACATATTCGGCGACACTAGATATTTTACATATTTCAATAATCATCGAAGCAATTTTAAACTACTACATAAGCAACTATATATTGTTAAAAGATTATTCATCACAGGATTGAATAATTGATCATCCCAAAAATTTCATTGATATCGCTCATGGCTACGTCTAGGGATTAAAATTTGAAACTTCTAAAATATATGCCATGGGTTTGATAAATACGAGTCAAACCAAACCAAACCAATTATCACCTTATCTTAATTTATTGTACTTGCCAACCATTAGTAATAGTTAATTCATTCAGACAATGGAATGTGTTAATCGATCATTAATCAAATCAATTGCTCCACTCATAAAAAAGATAATAATAATAATAAATCGAGATTAAAAAAATTGAGATTGATGTTCGTATATATGAAGATCTATCTGAGTATATGTTATAGATCAGATGAACCCAAAATTAGTATAATATGTTAAATCATTGTTGAGTAATAATAACTTTTTCTCTTAGAAAGTATTGGTAAACTAGATCTTGGAATAGAAATGAAAAAGTACCTGATAGGTCTTTGAAGCTTCACGATTTGCAATCAAAGTATCAGCAAAAACTTTACACCCATGAGCTGACATTATTTCTGTTATATTCATAGCACTGGGCTCTGGTGTGGGCGCCGCCGCCACATCCGACGGCAACACCTTACTGACCTGTATAACTGAAATGTTGTACGGTAACTCCTCCAAAGACTTGACATAAAACACATCAAGATTCCCTTCATTAACTTCAGGTCCAAAAGCCACTTTCCCTCCTTTAACGTCCGTTATGTTAACGAACCCGGAAGACCCAGGAGCTGACCCGGTGGCCTGGAACATAGTGGCTGCCAAGGCCGAGCCGTCTCTTATCTGGTGGAGTTTCTTGGTACCAAAGTAATCCAAGAGGACGTGGAGGGACAGGATGTTTTTGATGGTGGAGATTGATGGCTTTTTTGAAAGGAGTTCAGACATTGCTGCGTTGTCCACAGCGCAGACGGTGATGGTGGTTCGCCGGTTGATTTCTCCGGCGAGGTGCGTTAGGGTGAGGTAGTGGTTGAAGGTGGAGAAAGATGGGTGGCTGGCAAGTATGTGAGTAATGTTGTGGCCGTGAGTGATGGTAGTGGTGGTGAAGAGGAAGAAAAATAGAGAAAGGAGTACAGTAAAAAAATGCATTTTGCCTGTGTGTGGGATTGAGAGAGAAAGAGAGAGAGAGAGAGAGAGAGTTTTTGAAGCTTGACGTAGATTGGAGTGGCAAGTGAGAGAGAAGGAGAAGGGGAAAGACTGAAGTGATGAGTTGGAGGAGAAGGGGAAGGTAAAGCGGAAGGCTGTATAGAGAGACCTCGGAGGAGAGGTAAATGACAATGGGTTTGGATTTTGATCAATTTACTTGTCATGCCATCGTACGCGTCTAATGTTATCTTTTGTCCTAGAGTGACAAAGAACAGAGATTTGATTTGGGGGACAGAGAGACTACGCTCGTGCACTTAAAACTAATAATCATAAAAAATCAAAACAATCAAAACAATATGTTCTTGATTTGACAGAAGCAAATTATGGGACGCAAAAAAACAAATTAACTAAATATCCAATCAAACAAATTAAATTTTTTCTCCGAAGTTCTGAGAAAATAATATCAAAAAAATAAATTAACGAGTAGCTATATATATGTACACGTGCACATAAAAAAATACTTAGAAAAAAAATTATTTGAACATATTTTCAATCTCCAGGAGTTGAATTTTTTTTTTTTTTTTTTTGCAAAAACTCCAAATGAACGCAAAAAATACTTAGATTGTATCATATAATTGATATAGCATATTAAAATTGATATGATTTCATTTTCATTTGCATATATATTTTTATTATTTTAAATTACTTAAATCATATTAATTTTAATATATGCATTAATTTATTCATGTGATTTAATTTAAGTGGATAATGAGTACCGTAAAGCATGAAGTACTAAGGTTTTTTTTTTTTTTTTTTTTTTTTTTTTCAGTTTTTACTTGTAATGTTAAAGAATAAAAGTAACAAGAAACCTTTGTAGGGTGAACTCAATAATTGAGCTTTGCTTCCATCAAAGCCTTTTTGGTACAATAAAATATACTAGTATAACTTTTGCTAGGCTGTTTTTATGTCTGGTTGTGCTTTGGTTTCCTTAAATATATAATAAAGTCTCCTTGGTTGTTAGTCAAAAATTAAAATAGTGTGAGCCTTGTGATTTGTATCCATATACAATAGTAAACAGATGCCAAACATGCTATAGAATGGAGATACATGGCTTGCTTATATGTTGTTGAACCTGCTTAATTTCAAACTAACAATATATATTAATTATTTAAATATTTAAACCATAATGGATTCCTCTTGCCGCATGTGCACGTAAGAAAAAAAAAGGAAAGAAATTTGAAAAGTAGGTATCAAGTTTAAAAGGAAATTTGTAAACTAAACACTTTGAATTACAATTTCTCACAATATGTTAATTTAGTTTAGCAGATATATATGATTGTATACTAGATCAGCTCATATCAAAGTCCTTAAAGTTGTTTAAATACTTATGATGGTGTAGGTATTCCATTATGTATCATTAGCGTCCTTATTGCTTCAATTGACAACTTTGTAATTAAATTATGATATCAAATGATGCAATTTATATTATTGCTTCAAAAAATTATGAATAATTAAGAATTTAAATGGACTATACATCAAGATTGTTCATTTTATATTAAGATATGATTTTTTAAAATTTGATAACTACTTCTATAACTATCATGTCAATATGCTAATCATATGTCACGAGATATAAACTATGATATCGACTAATTTCATCTTTCATTTGCGGTTATTGTTGAATAATGAGAGTTAAACACTTTGGACAACTACTATATTAAGGATTTATATGTAACTTTTAATGTTTAAGATATTATATATATATATATAAAGAAAAAAAAAAGAAAATGGGAGATAAAGAAGAAAAAAAGGGGGCAAAACATTGCTTCGTGTCCTATACTTTCAATTTTTAGTCACATTGAACCCTCTACTTCAATTTAGGTAATGTCAACACTTAAAGTTTTGGGACTTTTAAACTTTTTCATCTATTTATGTCACTAAATTCCTTCAACAATTGTAAAAAATAGTTAAGTCCTTCATTTTATGTTTTATTTAAGATGAAGCATAAAAAATTAAAAAGCATTAAAACATTATCAGGTTAGGTTTAATATCTTGTTATGCTTTATTTTATTAGCTAACCTAATCTCATAATAGTTAAGTTTTCCATTTTATACTTTATTTTATTAGTCAAGCTTAATTTATTGCAGAATGGTTAATTGGACCGAATTTATATAGGAGAAGGGTATCTAGTGATTTTCAATCAAGCCACGTGATTGTGGATTGGTCAAAAATTGGTTAACTGATGACGTTAGGTCAAATTAACAGGTTTCCATAACGTAAGTATATATATGGAAGGGTTAAAATGTTTCAAAAATTTAAGTAGAAGAGTTGGTTTGATCCAAAATAAAACAGAGTGTTCAATATACCTAAAAGTCGAAAGTGTAGGAACACGGGTTGATTTTTTTCCAAAAAAAAAAGAAAATTTTTGGAAATTTGTTATTTGGAGATGAATTTTGATAGAAAACGAATGAAGAGACAAAAAAAAATTACATGGAGAGAATAAAAATTTAGAACTAAGGAAAAAAAAAACAAATTTTTATAAATTTTATTGACTTTTCTTTCTTTCATCCAACTTTCATACTTTATTTTTCTAAATATTAAAATCTACATAGAAATCCTTAAAAACTTCATTAATGTTTAAAAAAAAAAAAAAAATCTTCCTGTCTATTCTTTCCTTTTTTCCTCCAAGTTTTATACTTTTTTAATTTCCTAAAAAAGTCAAATTAGAGATAGCGATTGTAAATGTTATAAACTCATTTGATGCATTTTTTAATGATATCATTGCTAATTTTTTTTTTAAAAAAAAAACCTTTGAGTGAATATCCTAAAGTATATTTATTGTTAATTATTTTTATTTAAACCAAATTACAAGTCATGTTGTAAACTTTAAATTAAGATGTATATTATATATTTTTTAAGTGTAAACCGAGAAAAAACATAATGAAAATATATCAAATACCAGTTCAATTAATCTCAAAGTCCTTTAAGTTGTTAATTTTTTGTTTATATATATTATATATGAATTAGATTGGATTTGCATTTACAATTTTTTATATTTCAATTAAGTCCTTCATTGGCAGAATAACAAATGTAATTTTAGCTAATGTTATTCTAATGTTAGTTATGTTTGTTAAAAAATGATGATGATGATTATAAAAAAACAAGAAATGATAGTTAGATAATCGTGTGAATGATTGTGAGGTAATAATGATTATATCAATTGCAAGTGTCGATAATAATGATTATTTTAATATATATTAAGAGTTGATTAGTTTTTTTTTTTTTACATTATGTTTTACTTTTTAATTTTCACTTCTTATATTAGAAATTAAAGTTTCTAAATAATTGATTTATATTGATATATAATAGAATCAGATGATTTAGTAGCTTACAACATATACTGTTTTTTTAATCCATTTATAATTACAAAACTAATAATTGATTGTCATATCTATATAATATTTTAATATTTCATGACGTAAAAATATGTGTTTTTTTTTAATTTGTATATTTTAATAAATGAAAAGAAATATTTAAAGGCATGTGGAAGAGTACGAATAAAAGAAAAACTTAACACAACGAATATTAATTATATAAAAATACTTAAAACCTAATGTTTATATTACAAAAATATATTTATAATTCAATAATTGAAGTATGATCGATTGATCAATTAATATTTTAATTATGATCATATATAATTTAACGTTTGCATAATTAAAGCTGATCCTAATAATGCGGTAGCAATCTACCAGTTAACGTGAATTTGTAAGAAGGGAAACCGTGCAAACTAGGAATTAATATTGGCACTACCCATGTGATAACCACACTCTCTAATCCCTCTCGCTTTCTCTCTTTCATCGTAAAATGATAAAGTTACCCTGTATTAAATATTTTATATTATCCCACTCTTTTTCCTCTACGTAGCGCTAACACAGAAAACAAGTAAATTATAAATTAGTCCCTTTAGTTTTTCAAAATGATTTAAATAATCCATATAGTTTCAAAAACTAATTAATTAATCTCTATATTTTTAAATTGATTTATAACTTAATCTTTTTTTTATAGATTTTTTTATCCTTTTTCTTGTATGTTTTAATTTTTTATTTTTATCAGCTGCCAACCGACTTCTTTCTAATAAATCTCATGTAGATTTTCATTGAAAAGAAAAATCTTAATCTTTTTATTTTGATTTTTTTTATTTTTAAAATAAGAAAAAAGTAAAAGAAACAATGAGAAAAAAATACATTGTTAATTTAATAATACTTTGTTTCAAAATATATATATATATATATATATATATATATATATATATATTAAATTTAATAACACTTATTGGCCATATAAATAAGGTGCCAAATACTGCATAATATTAAAAGAAATTTTATGGTAATCAAAAAATAACTAAAAATACTTACTCCAATAAAATAAGTTGAAAAAGAACAAAAGGATTGAGTTACAAATAGGTTTTAAAATATAACGAGTAATTAATTATTTTGAAAATCTAAAAGGACTAATTTATAGTTTACTCTTTAGGATAATTTTGTCATTTCACAGAAAGGAGATCAAAAAGTGTAAATATGATAGATACAAGGAGTGCTAATGGCACCTTCCGGAAAAAGAGTGTGCAAGAAATGGAAATAGCAAGTACAACAAACTTTAGGAATAATAAAAAACTAATTGAAGGCTGTAACTTGTAACAAAAAAGAAAGAAAGAACCTAATTGAGGATTGATTGAGTGTAAAAGAAGCAGTTGGTAACAGATCATGTGGTTTTGGCATCTCTTGATCAGAAATCAAGGCACTTTAAAAAGTAGACAGTAAATATACACACATGAGAAAGACCCCCGCATCACAAGTCTGGCATATGCCCCCATATCTGGCAAGTCTAATCCTAACTTCTCTCCTTCCCTTTTACAAATTATGACGCATCAGCATCACCTCATACTGGAATCAAAGGTCCCTCCAATGAAGGCCAGAACATATTTTAGGACTCAGGGTCTC